GCTACAGCTCACTTCATCGGATGCTGTAGCTCACGAAAGCTTATGCTCAAATAAATTTGTTAGTCTCTAAGATGCCACAAGTACTCCTTTTCTTTTTGCGAATACAGACTAACACGACTGCTACTCTGAAACCTCCCGATGTTGTTCATTATCCAACTGGGTAACCCGAGTGAATGTTACATTCTCCTTGTGAAAACAAGAAATCCTGGTCCTCCCAAGCATATAAAGTAGGACCCTCTCTTCCAGAAAGGGAGTGGAGTGCTTAGACACAAGAGAGGGAACAAGAGACAGAAAAGGAGCTCTGGCCACTTAATGTGAAATTTCCAAAAAGGTTACGTGGGCTCAAATCTTCTGCCAGACTTCCCTCTTCTGAGGATCTCCCTCAATATCTCATGACATTTATCAGATGGAAAAGAAGGACATAGCAAAAGCTTTTTTACACCTGTGGAAGCATATTCATTAATGAGGAAATCAGCATGGGAGATGTGTTCATTTCTTGGCTGGTTACCCAATTGTCAAACCTAGCATAAGCCTTTTCTCTGCCTCTTCCTCCATTCTTCCCACAACTGATTTTAAGCCAATGATATACAGGAATTCCATTCTAATGTTTCAGTTTGAGTGGCACAGCCATAAAGGAGCTAAAATCTCCCCTCAAGGTCTAAACTAAACAGCTTTCCCAAGTGATGAATGTGAGAGCAAACAATGCATCAAGAGACACTAACTTTTGAGAAGTTCAGAACAGAGATCATTCTCTTTAATAGCAACCAGCTGCATGAGAGCTTAGTATTAGGTTCTCTCCCCACCCCCCTCATCTGACACTCTCTGATGGGTCCTGAATGCATCTGCAATGCTCCCCCCTCCCCCAACTTCATCTCAATGGGTGAGGGGGGCTGTTGATCAAACAGACAGGGATAGACACACAATGCCCGGAAGAAAAGCAGGAGGTGAGAACACATGCTTGACAGATAGAAGCCAGACTCTCCTTCTCCTGAGGTCCTACACCTCCCATTTGTTGGAAGAACAGGCCAGGCTGACTGGCTCTCATGCCCTCCCCCATTCTAGTTCAGCCCTGCTCAGGTTTTTCAAGGGTCTCTTGCCCAGGGCTTAATTTGTGGCAGGGCTTGCCAGTTCATAGGCCCAGCACTGCTGGGCTTGCTACATCAGTTATGAATGTAAAATAATTGCCTGAGCCCCAGCACCTCTTTCATTACAAATTAAGCACTGCTCTTGCTCCTTTAGCTGCCACATCCTATCTCCACTTAGCTGTAGTGTAGGAGCTGTATTTTTCAGAATGCTGCAAGTCTGATTGATGGTCTGTTTTGGGATCAGGAAGGAATTTTCCCCATTGGGCCAAATTGGCTAAGGCTTTCTTGCCTTCTTCAGTGTTTAACAGAGGCCCAGGTAGGTTGAAAATGATCACTTGAAAGTTTAATATAAGAAAAGGTAAGACTGTTCAGCTTGTTTTAACTTGTGGCTGATGTCCAGTGCAGATAACAGACAAAACAGCCAGCTCTCAGAGGTAAATGAGCCCTAAGATTTCACTGGTGGACCTTGTACCTATAGGATTCATAGATTCCAAGGCTGGAAGGGAGCACTGTGATCATCTAATCTAGGGGTTGGCAACCTACTGCATGCGTGCCAAATAGACGCGAGCCAATTTTTAATGGCACGCTGCTGTCTGCCAGCCCGGCCCGCTCTTTTCCGCCCCCGGCCCACTGCTCTCTCTTTGCAAGGCAGGCAAGCTTCTCGCTCTCCCTGCCTCGTCCCCCACCGTGCTGGGTTCCTGCCCCTCCTTCTCTCCCTCCCTGGGGCCGATCAGCTGACGGCCCTTGGTATGGAGGAGGAGAGGTAAAAGCGGGGAGAGGTAAAAGCAGAGCCGCAGAACGCTCTCTGCTCCGGGGACCTTGGGGAAGGGGGTGGAATCAGGGCATATCCCCTCCAGCCCCTTGCCGTGAGCTGCTCAGGGCAGGGGCCTGGGAGCAGCCCACACTCCCAGCCATCTGCCCTGACCCCTGCACCCTCCTCAAATACCCCCAGCCCTCTGCCCTAACCCCTGAACCCTCCTCACACACACCCCAGCCCCGTGCCTTGACCCCGGCACCCCCCCACAACCCCAGCCCTGATTCCGGCACCCCCCACACATACCCAGCCCCCCCAGACCCGTGCCCTGACTCTTGCACCCTACTCACACCCCCCCAGCCCCCTGCCGACTCCTGCACCCCCCCACACATACTCAGCCCCCCCACACCTCATGCCCTGACTCTTGCACCCCCCAAATCCCCACCCCCACCCTGAGCACCAAACGGGAGCTCCTGCGTACACACACACACCCATTCCCACCTGCACCCCTTACACCAAATGGGAGCTGCCCAGGTAAGCACTCCACACCCAAACCTCTAGCCCCCTCCCTCATTCTAGCTCCTGGCCAGACCCTGCACCCCATCTCCCAACCTGCTCCTTCACCCCCAGCCCTGTTCTTAGCACACTCCCACCCTCATCTCAGTGCAGAGAGAGGAAGAGAATGGCTAGAACCAGGGAGAAGGTAGGTACCTACTCTATGTGAACAGGGCCAGGACTCCAGACCGGCAGCGGGCTGAATGAGGCCGGCAACTGGGACCCTGGCTGGCAGGAGCTGGCAGACGGAACCCCAGACCGGCAGCAGGCTGAGCCGCTCAGCCCACTGCCAGTCTGGGGTCCCAGCCACCGGCCCCACTCAGCCCACTGCCGGTCTGCAGTTCTGGCTGCCTGCCCCTTGCCAGCCAGGGTCCCGGCCGCAGGGCCCGCTCAGCGCGCTGCTGGCCTAGGTGAACCGAACCCCAGGCCAGCAACGGGCTGAGCGGGCTGGCGGTGTAAGATCAGCATTTTAGTTTAATTTTAAATGAAGCTTCTTAAACATTTTGAAAACCTTGTTTACATACGACAATAGTTTAGTTATATAATGTGTAGACTTATAGAGAGAGGCCTTCTAAAAAACATTACAATGTATTATTGGCACGCGAAACCTTAAATTAAAGTGAATAAATGAAGACTCAGCACACCACTTCTAAAAGGTTGCCAACCCCTGATCTAATCTGACCTCCTGTATAACATAGGCCATAGAACTTCCCCAAAATAACTCCTAGAACAGATCTGTTAGAAAAAAACAAAGTCTTGATTTAAAAATCAAATCTAAAAATTTGAATTGAATTTAAAATGAAAAAATACACTTCAATATTGGTAAATTTTTCTTATGGTTATTTACTCTTACCATTAAAAATGTACCATTACAAATGTACAGCTTCAACTTCTAGCCAGTGGATCATGTTATGCCTTTCTCTGCTAGATTGAAGAACCTATTATCAAATATTTGTTCCCCAAGGCGGTATTTGGCTGTTCTCTGACCCACTCCAATTTAACAACATCCTTCTTTAATTGTGGGCACCAGAACTGGATGCAGGATTCCAGCAGCAGTCACACCAGTGCCAAATACAGAGGTTCACAGCTTTAACTCAGTAATGAAATGGACAAAAATCTTGTCAATTTCACAGTGCTGGTCTTTCCAAAGTTCAGCAGCAGTCACTGAAGCAAACTTAAGAGAGATTCACAGGTATGCCCCCCAGCAACCTCCCCCCCCCCCCACACACACACACAAAAAGGCTAGTTGAGAAGTATAACAGAGACTCTCACACACCCCATGTGTAATGTAACAGACTAATCTGCTCAAGAGTTAGGAAGCTCTGGAATGGAAAATGGTTGGATGGAAAGAGAAAGTTTATCTTTCTTTCCACCCCTCTCCCCTAGCTGCTGGAATATGCTTCAACTTTGTGAGACACCTGCTAGATAGAGATGGATACAAAAGATACAGCCCATGAGCACAGTCCAGGAACAGCATTGTAGTAGGAATCACATCACCATCCATCTTCCAAGCAGATGCTGAAAGCCTTCCCCCTTCCCCCACCACAAAGTCTTTTCTCTGTCTCTGTCCAGCAGGCATCTGGTAAATTTTTCAAGTCCTGGTTAAACACAGTATTACTGATTTTTTTCTATTGTTATTATTTTAGGAAAATGCAAGAATGTAAAATTCTGAAATTCAACAACAGGCAAAACAGAGGCCTTGTGTGTCAAGGCCAGATATGACTGTACTTTAACATTATTATTAGCACATAAGACTATTCAACATTATATAATCTCTTATTTACACAAACATTAAGGAGAGGCTCACCTCACTTGTAGGAAAGAGAGAGACAAGGCAAGTGAGGTAATATCTTTTACTAGACCAACTTCTGTTGGTGAGAGAGACACTTACACAAAAGAGTGCTCTTCAAGTGACCTGAAGTAGAGCTCCGTGTAAACTCGAAAACTTGTCTCATCAACAAAAGTTGGTCCAATAAAAGATATTACCTCACCCACCTTGTCTCTCTAAATTCATGGGTCCAACATGGCTACAACAACACTACACACCACAATTGTTACAGAGAGGCATTTGCTGATTCAAGCACAATTCTTGTAACTCTTAGGGCTTGGCTACACTTGCGAGTTAGAGCACATTAAAGGAGCCCCGGGCACACTAGCTCACTACCCGGCCACACTGGCAAGACACATAGCGCGCTGACTCCATGGCTAGAGTGCTCCTGGTACTCCACCTCGGCGAGTGGAATAACGTTTTGTGCGCCCCCGCTGGAGCGCCGGGGCACCAGTGTGTTAGTGCACTCTGACTGGCCTCCAGAAGTGTCCCACAATGCCTGTTCTAGCCACTCTGGTCAACACTTTGAACTCTACTGCCCTGCCCTTAGGTGACCAACCATCAGACCCCCGCCCTTTAAATTCTCTGGGAATTTTGAAAATCCCCTTCCTGTTTGCTCAGCCAGGCGTGGAGTGCTCTCAGCGAATCTTTCCAGGTGACCATGCCTCCACGCATCAGACGATCCCCAGAGCAATGGCGAGGTGCTGGACCTCATCAGTGTTTGGGGGGAGGAAGCTGTACAGTCCCAGCTGCGCTCCAGCCATAGGAATTACGATACCTTCGGGCAGATATCAAGGGACATGACGGAAAGGGGCCATGACCGGGATGCACAGCCGCTCCGGTGCTGTCCCTGCAACCAGCCGTTTCTACAAAGAGTGGGACACGATACTTGGGGGCGACCCCACCTCCACTCCGAGTACCACCATGGACACTTCAGAGCCCAGTTCAACAAGGCAGGAGGAGGAACAGCAACAGCAAAGTGGGAGTGAGGGTGCTGAGGCGGAGGAAGACATCCCGGCATCCGTAGATGCATGCAGCCAGGAGCTGTTCTCAAGCCAGGAGGAAGGTAGCCAGTCGCGGCGGTCGGTTCTTGGGGAAGGACAAACACCAGAGGAGCTTCCTGGTAAGTGGCTTTTATTTTGGGAAGGAAGTTATTCGGTGCGGGCTCTTGAGGCTAGGAGGGTTAGGGCTGCATGCATGCCTAGATGCAGAATAGGGTGTTGATGTGCTCTCTCTCATCGTGGTAATCGGCCTCAGTGATCTCTTCAAAGGTCTCATCCAGAACTTGGGCAATGCGCTCACGCAGGTTTCTCGGGAGAGCCACTGTGGTCCTTGTCCCATTAAGGTTAACTTGTCCATGCCACTGTGCCGTGAGGGGACCATTGCTGCACACAGGCAAGCTGCATATGGGCCAGGGCGGAAGCCGCACTGTAGTAGAAGACCCTCCCTTGCTTCCCAGGTCACCCTCAGCAGCCAGATATCTTCCAGGATGAACTCCTGTGGAAAATGTAGGGACAGTGTTCAGTATAGGGGCCCGCTGCACCTGTTAGCTCTCCCCAAGGCACAGAAACCCAGAGGACAGTACAGCCATGAAACCATCAATCACGCTTGACCCTGTGCTTACTCACCATTTTGGTGCTCCCGTGGGTTATGTGCGCTTTGGGACGGGCAAATTATGCTATTGTGTAGACTGTGCTCGCCCTTAAGTACGGGGGAATCATTGCTCTGTCTGGTGTGAACAATGCTGCCTCTGTTAAGTGTTGTATTTTGCTTTTACAGCTGCAACTTTGAGATCTCAACCGTCCATGTTATCACAGGCCGAAAGACTCCAAAGAATCAGAAAGAGGCCACGTAGAAGCAAGGAAGACATGTTGCATGAAGTAATGCAGCATTCAAGTAATGAAAATCAAAAAGTACAGGAGTGGCGGGACAGTAAAAGGAGGATCTGCCACAGGATAAGGAGCGCCGACACAAAAGCGTGGTGCTCCGGCAGCAAAGCACAGATCGGCTGATAAGCATAATGGAGCGCCAAGCAGACTCTATCCAGGCGCTTATAGCCATGCAGGCAGATCACTACCGTGCCCACCTCTCCCCCCCTCTCCCCCCACAGCCCTTGTCCCAAAACTCTTTCCCTTATGCCCCCATGTCACCTCCAACCCACTTTCCCCAACATCTGGGTTCTTACCGCCACCCGCAGCTTCACCACCCAGCCCTGAAAACTACGACCCTTACCCACTGCACTCACCCCCATCACCATGCAGTATAGCCATCCTGAAGTGCAGCACTCATTGCACTGCACTCCAGACAGGAAGGCTGAGTATGAGAACAGGACATACGCAAATCTGTGATTGTACCATTCCCCATCTCACCCCCTTGCCCTTTCCCTTTCCCAAGAGGTTGTGTTTCTTTTCAATAAATGGATTTTTTGGCTTTGAAAACATTCTTTGTTATTGCATAAAGTAAAAGATACCTTCGTCCAGGAAAGAAACAGGCACTGCAAGTCAGCGTAGCAAACAGAGATTCCTACTAACATTGGAACCACTGCACTTCACTCCCGTGCAGAGCACCAGACATTACTGGTGGCTTTCAGCCTCAAATTGCTCCCTCAAGGCATCCCTAATCCTTGCAGCCCCAAGCTGGGCCCCTCTAATCGCCCTGCTCTCTGGCTGTTCAAATTCAGCCTCCAGGTGTCGAACCACCAAGTTCCATGCCTGAGTGAATCTTTCACCCTTCCCTTCACAAATGTTATGGAGAGTATAGCACGCGGATATAACCGCCAGGATGCGGTTATCGGCCAGGTCCAGCTTCCCATACAGAGAGCGCCAGCGGCCCTTTAAACGGCCAAAAGCACACACCACAGTCATTCTGCACCGACTCAGCCTGTTGTTGAACCGCTTCCTTCTGCTGTCAAGGCTCCCTTTGTAGGGTTTCATGAGCCACAGCATTAAAAGGTAAGTGGGGTCCCCAAGGATCACAATGGGCATTTTGACTTTCCCTACAGCGATCTTCTGGTCTGGAAAAAGAGTCCCGGCTTGCAGCTTCCTGAACAGATCAGTGTTCCGAAAGATGCATGCGTCATGCACAATTCTGGGCCAGCCTGCATTAATGTCAACGAAACACCCATGGTGATCCACAAGCGTCGGGAGAACCATAGAGAAATACCCCTTCCGATTAACATACTCGGAGGCTAGGTGGGCTGGTGCCAGAATTGGAATATGCGTCCCATCTATCACCCCTCTGCACTTAGGGAAACCCATTTGTGTAAAGCCATTCACAATGTCATGCACGTTACCCAGAGTCCCGGTTCTTCAGAGCAGGATATGATTAATGGCCCTGCAAACTTGCATCAACACGATTCCAGCAGTCAACTTTCCGACTCCAAACTGGTTAGTGACCAATTGGTAGCTGTCTGGAGTTGCTAGCTTCCAGATTGCAATAGCCACCTGCTTCTCCACCGTCAGGGCAGCTCTCAATCTTGTGTCCTTGCGCTGCAGGGTGGGGGCGAGCTCCTCACATAGCCACTTTCATGGGACTCTCTCATCCGAAAGTTCTGCAGCCACTGCTCGTCATCCCGGACTTGCATGACAATGTGATCCCACCACTCAGTGCTTGTTTCCCAAGCCCCAAAGCAGTGTTCTACGGTGGTGAGCATGGCCATGAATGCCACAAACAAACTCATGTCATATGTGTTACTCGAGTCGATATCATCGTCGGACTCCTCACTGTCACTTTGGATCATAAGGAATAACTTGACTGTAAAACATGACGTGCTGGTGAGACTCATCAGCATACTCCTCAGCAGTTCGGGCTCCATTCCCGCAGACCGAAAGGGAAAGGGAAGACAGAGCATGCAGTACAAAAAACGTTGAAAGATGGTGCCAAATGTGGACGGAAGCACAGGGATTGCTGAGATGCAAACAGATGCATCACGGGGCGTTGGGACAGGACCCAGAATGCCCCGCACCCCCTGCCCTTTTCCCACAAGCCACAGTGCCAGAATGGGAAGAGGTGCTCTGTGGGATAGCTGCCCCAAATTCACCGCTCGCAATGCCCTGCAAGTGCCGCAAATGTGGCCATGCTAGTGCTCTTGCAGCTGCCAGTGTGGACAGACTGCAGCACTTTCCCTACTGCGCTCTACGAAGGCTGGTTTAACTCAAAGTGCTCTAAATCTGCCCTTAGGCATCACAGATCAGCCATTAGTGACTGCTGATAGTCATCTGATAACGAAGAACTGCCAAAATTATTTTTCCTAGCACTGCCAAGTTTGCTATTTAGTTTCATTTCTGTCTAAAGAGAAATGCATATTCACTGTATCATAACTAAGAACATGACATTACCATGACTTTGTACTTTAAGGACATTATTTCACTTTGCCAAATTTATCATAGTATGGTGAAAACAATCTGAACTAGAAATAATTGTTCAGAAACAGTCTACAACAATTTGTTAGTGTATGTAGGAGTCCTTAGACACAAATAAATGAGTTTATTGCTTTAAAAAAATTGTTTTTCAAATTAATAGCTTCATGGTACATTTTCCAAGTGCTCCACTTAACTTTGAAACCTAGGAACATTTCTCAGCTTAAAATGTTAATTCCCATTTTAGGAATGGATTGTTTTTTTGTGGAGAGAGATGCACACATCATATAGACACACACACACGCGCGACATTAAGAGGTATCTTTAAATTTCCAGTTTGTCTTAATGCTAAAGTGTGGAACTTCACCTAAATACAGTGCACAACTAAAAGCAGAAAGTATTCCTTCAGCGGAAAACACAAATTAATGGAATTACACAACTAATATACTCAGAAATAACCAACATATACATTTCATCTAGTACACATCTGACAATATAGACTGTTACCATGTAGCTGTTTGGAGTTTAAAGTCAGGCTCACACAAACATCACTGGATCAGACCCATAGTCTACCTAATCCAATATCCTGACTCTAGCAGCAGCCAGCACTAGCTGCTTCAGAAGAAATGGGATAGGCAGATGTGGGACAATCCGCATCCCAAGTGAATCCTAAAAGAGAATGGCTTAAGCATGAGATTTTAAATCCCTAATATTTCTAAGTATTTATTATATCTCTGGATTTTTTTTATCTACATATGTGAACCCTCTCTTTAAATCCTGCTAGATTATTATTGTAATGACATCTTGTGGGAATGAGTTCCACAATCTAATTAATTATGTGGCGTCTGAAAAGGCAATTATTTTATCAGTTTTCAATTTCACTGACTGTCCCCTTTTCTTTTACTATAAGACAGGGAGAATAGAAGTTCCCAATCCACCTTCTCATTACCATTAATTATTTTACATATTTTTATCACGTCTCCTCTTATTTGTCTCCTTTCTAAAGTAAACAATCCCAATCTTTTCAATCACTCTTACTATGAGCGTTTTTCCATTACCTTGATCATTATCAACATTCTTCTCTGTACCCCCTCTAATTCTACAATATCCTTTTTGAGATGGGGTGGACAGAACTGAACACAGTATTTTGGAGGAAGGTGAACTACTGGTCTCTGTGTGTACAATATTTTCCATATTATTCTCAATCCCATTCCTTATGCCTCCTGGCAGTTTGTTTGCTTTTTTGACCACAGCTGTAAATCACCTCCTGAATGCTACTTAGGACTAAGCTGAGAATAGTCTTCTCTTATATGCTCTAGAACTAGCTGTTTCAAGATCATTTAGGCTATTTAGAAAATGCTGCTGTCCTACTTAAGAAAAATCTATGTGAAGACACAAATGTTGTAAAACCATAAAAGAATTATACATTAAATTTTAATGGCAACTTTTGTCCTGTGCAGTTAGTGGCTCAGTGAATTCTTTCAGCAGATACATAAAGGGCAAATGGTAATGTGAAGCTTACTGTTTTCAATTTAACACTTTTTATACTTAAAGCACACATTACAAATCTGAAAGTTAAAAATCTACATTAAGGTGTATCTGCTCATTGCTCATTTAATAACTAACCCAAATATAACATCAACACAGAGTCACAAGCTACAAAAAGTTTCTTTGTGGATGGAAGTTGGCTATTGTATTTGAATAACTTCCTGCATTCTTATCTCATTCCCCAAAACTATACACATCAATTCTTATATTCAGCAGTAAGAACCTACTGACAGCTACATGAGACTAATTTTTAAACAAAAATCTTTTAGACACTACACAAGTACAGATGTCAGACCTTTAGAACAATGGAAAACTTAACATTGTTTTGCTATAGAAAAAAATTCAAATTTGTGGAGTTAGTTCTACCTCAGCTGGCCAGGCCAGTTTTAGGGTCCCACTATTTGGGGGTAAGTTAGTATTTTGGAACCTCTGAATGTCGCTATTTAAAAATAAACAAACTTCCAGGAGCTATTTAGAAGTCTCGAAAATCAAAGATTTTAAGAGTAAAAAAGGTAAATTTTGGCTACAATGTCAGTATTTTCCTGCTATTTATAATCTATATAAAAGATAAAACTCTCCAATCTGCTGTTG